CTAGCTCAATAAAAGTCTTCGTCTTTTCGACAACACTTCGATAAGGTGTTTGAGGTCCGCACTTCTTGTTATATCTTTACAGTTGTTAGTACAGACTGAAAACTGCAGATTCATTTCTAAAAGCGAGTTATCATTTGAGTTTTTTTTTTTAGTAGTCCCTTGCTCCTCGAGTGATGAACTGCCACCTTAGTCTGACTTATATGACAAACAGGAAACTGAGGTTCATTTTCTCCATTCATTTCCTTCACATTTGATCTCGGCAGTTAGTGCGGTAACCAGAGCTTTGTTAATTTGATATATCTACTTATCTTTAGTGTGACACAAGTCACGGACAGAAAAACAAAACAAATAACTAGAAAAAGTCAAAATGTTCAATATATATATATATATATATTATATACGAATCGGAAGTCAGTTTGTGTAACTGAAAATAATTCGTATTTTTCTAAATTTAAAATGTTATTCCTCACTCTCACATTAGCTTCCTTCCTGTTCTTCGTCTTTATTTACACCTCTCTCTAGATCTTACTTACATTTCTTTTTTTTCCCGCTTGTTTCTCGTCCCCACATATTCGCTGTCAGAGAAATTTTGTTATTTAAAACCGGAGATATATTTTCTGTTTTCTTTTTGAATTTGTAGGTCTGATGAATTGGATCGTTATTACAATTCCAGTGAAATAAATTATAACCATGAAATATTAGTGTTTGATTCTTTTATATTATACTAGCAGTAGAGCCCGGCGTTGCCCGGGGATGTAACAGTAAGAGATAGATCAAGTATCGACCATCATAAAGACTGAAAAATAAAATTGACAAAGATTATTGTTTAAGGTTGACGGACACGCATGTCTTAATTAGTTTTTTTTTTTTTTTTACAAATTGGTCAAACCCAAACTGAAACAAAAACATTGTTTTCAATGGTTCTGAGTCTACCGATTGAATAGAATTTTATTATAAACAATTGTCTTGTAAATGGTATTTTTAAAGCATTCTGAATGTAAAAATAAAGAAAAAAGACAATAAGAAACACTACCTGCCAAAAAAAAGTGAAGTTTTGTTGAAATCGGTTGAAAAATGTAGGAAATCCGATCACATATATAAACGAACACACACACACACACACACACACACACACACACACACACACAACCTGGGTTTTTACAATAAGTATAACACGATATGAGTTGTCCCCCTTTCATTCTGGCGACAGTGATGCCTCTTAATCGTGTTTTCAAATGGATTTCGTGCAAAAACAATTGTGTTTTTCCAATTTTGAGCGCTGTCAGAATCACCGCAAGGTAATTTACGTAGTCGTGTGAAGTTTTGTTGAAATCGGTTGAAAAATGTAGGAAATCCAATCCAATATATAAACACACACACACACACACACAACCTGGGTTTTTATATTAAATATATATATATATATATATATATATATATATATATATATATATATATATATATCAGGTTATCCCATAAGTTCTGTCCGAATTTTAACTTTTTTGTTAAAGTGAACGAAATTTAAAGACTATTTTATAATGTCTAATGGAGCTGAACATTATTTTTATGTTTAGATGCATTTAAACTGATCAAATTTTATTTCAGAGAACAATAAAATTAAATTTTGTTTGATTAAAACCCTGCTAACATGGAAGTACCCAAGAATCATTTGAGGCACATAATGCTTTATGAGTTCAAGAAAGGAAACTCAGCAGCCGAAGCAGCTAGAAACATTCATTCAGTTTATGGAGAGGAATGTGTGATTGAAAGAACTTGCAGCAGATGGTTTGCAAAATTCAGAGGTGGAGATTTCACCCTTGAAGATGAAGATCGAACCGGGCGTCCAGTTGAATTTGATGAAAAGCTTCTTAAAGCAGCCCTCGAAGAAAATCCTGCTTTATCAGTTGAGGAATTGGCAGTGGTTCTCAGTTCAAGCCATACAACTGTCCATCGACATCTTCAACAACTTGGAAAAGTTCCTAAACTTGGAAAATGGGTGCCTCCTGAATTGTCTGAAAACAACCTCAAATCCCGAGTAGACATCTGCTCTTCTCTGCATTCTCGCCAACTTGTTTCACTTTTTTTGGATAGACTTGTGACTGGCGACGAAAAATGGATCTTTTATCGAAATGTTAAGCGTCGTAGACAGTGGCCTGGTAAAGAGGAAGGACCCCAGACACAGCCGAGTAGGGAACTTCATGGGCAAAAGGTTCTTCTTTCAATCTGGTGGGATCGCCAAGGAATAATCCACTTTGAATTCTTACCACCTAATGCAACAAATAATGCTCAAATATACTGTCAGCAATTAGAGCGTTTGAACCAAGCTTTGAGGAAAAAAAGACCTGCTCGAGGGAATCGAAAAGAATTGATGTTTCTTCAGGACAATGAGCGACCCCACACAGCAAGAATCACGTCACAAAAGATCGAAGAACTTTATTGGGAGAAAATTCTTCATCCATCTTATTCTCCCGATCTTGCTCCTTCAGACTACCATTTGTTTCGTAGCTTACAGAATCATTTGGAAGAAACAGCTTTTGTAACACAGGAAGAAGTTAAAACTGACATTTGTGAGTCCTCCGAATGAAAGCTAAAAAGAATTTTACAGTAATGGAATTAGTAAGCTTGTTAATAGATGGAAGGAAGTCATAGATAATCAGGGAAAATGTTGATTGAATCTGTAATTAAATGTAATTTGGTCACTTGTTTTCTGTTATGGGGTCCTCCCCTTTTTCATATAAGTGGATTCGACTGCTGCAGTTAAATACACAGAGAGAGTAGAGATAGTACGAAGATTGAGATTGTGATTGAGTTGGAGGTAGAGTAATAGTGTGACGTAACCGCTTGTAGAAGTCAGTTACAAGCAAGTAGACTCTAAGGAAGCCCTACTTCGAGACTGTATATATCTATATGCTCAATAGCTACTAACCGCGTTCCTGGATTTACTAACAGTATTACCCTTTGTATTATTGTGTAAATACATTTTATTTCTTATATTTAATTCTTGCGTTTGTCATTCATTGGAGACCGAATTTGATCTCGGAATCTACAACATTTTCTTTATTCAAAATTCGGACAGAACTTATGGGATGACATGATGTCAAATGAGCTGTGGTCCCAAACACTATGCCTGTAGATTTCTGTTTGAATTTCTGGGATAAGGAGTAGGTATCTCCAAAGATTCATTAAAGAATGAGCATACATGATGAAAAAATACCCAAAAGTTAATAAAATCAAAGTTTATTCGTTAAAATCTTTGTTATTATTAAGAGGAATGACCAAAGAACTTTTTGATTATTAAATTATATTTTTAATCCTTTGTAGTACATTCGAAATTATGGTTATATTTTTTCTTGCGACCAACTTATGGAAAAAAATTTTTTATCAGTCTTTGAAAAATAAACTTTGTAGAGGACCGTATGTCGGAGTTACCATTATGTAGAGTTTTGCACAACGGCGAAGTTGTTGAGTATAAGTAGATGAATACATGTGAGTAGAAATTTTCTGATAGCCGGTCCAACTACATGAGAAAGCTGGACTTTAATTAAGTCCAAAGAAGGCAAAGAAAAACAAACACAAGACCGATAAATATATGTAAACAAATATGTGTATTAATAACAACAAGAAAGGTACAAGTTACATGGACAGTTACATTGACAGAGTGTGTGTGGTGAATATTATGCGTGTGTGTGTGTTGTGTTGTGGTGAGTGTTCGTACGTACGTGTATTGTGCTTAGCGTGTTCCCAATGACGAAGAAGTTTGTAGAAGATATTGAACGGGAAAGATTTGTCGTCTCGATTAGCGAGACGGTAATTAGTAATCGTCACATTTTTAAGCTTGAGTAAGCGGTCGAAAAATGGTCGGCTGCTGATCTGCTCAGGTCTCCGTCCGCTTCTGCCTCTGCCTCTCTGTCGTCACACGTGCTTTGGGTTCGTTTTAAGAGGTCATGATCACGTGGGGTGGCGCCGGAACGATTTTGCGCCAAAACTTCTAAGTGCACGTGCGGGCGACCTGATTGGTAGAAATGAACCAATCAGAGGGCTAGATTTACGAATGAAACTTGGAATAGTGCATTCGAAGAAGGTAAGATTGGGCTGATGGACGAGCCTAATAACTTCATTGGTCTTTTGATTTGTAACTAACATAAAAAGTAAATAACTTTCAATTAAATTTTATTAAAGAAAAAGACTATAGCGAGGCTTAGTTTTTCGAAAATTAATTTAAATAAAATATTCGTAAAACAAATATTTAGCACGACTAATGTTGACCGAAAGTAAATGTCTGTCTCTGTTAATTTTTATTTAAAGCTTTTTCTTTTCAAATACAAATATAACTGGAAATTTAAACATAATCGCTTTTCAAAAGTAAATTTTTAATGTATCTTGCTTCTACTCTCTTTCAAAATAGTAATTAATGTTTAAAAATAAAACTTTATTTACTTAAAAAATCTAAATTCCTCTCCAAAATAAATAGTAAATAATTATTTTTCGAAGAAGTTAGGCTCGCTATAGTTTTTGCTTGAAAATTAAATATCAAATATAACTTAATTTAAGTCTACTAACTTTTTTATTAATAATAATTTGAAAAAAGGTTAACGACTGTTTATTTAAATTTGATTTGTTTGAAAACAACATTAACAGAGTATTTATGTCAGTATTTAAATCGAAAAATAAAGTGTCTTCTTCAATAAAATTATGAAGATGCTCAGTCCGAAAAGACAAAGCGTGGTATTGGTAGTGTGATATTTTTGTAAATTTAGATACAGTGTAACCCGGATATAAGAGAGTTGTCGGGACCGGAGAAGAAATCTCTTATATCCGAGTTTCTCTTATATCCGGGTTTGGTCTATTTTGTTTAGGTAAGTATGGGAACACTTCATATAACGCTTTTTACGTACAGAACACTAGTTTATTTAACAGTTATAGACATAAAAAACACAGACAAAAATACATTTTCAATCAGTTTTCAAAATAATTCAATCAAAATTACTTTTCTTAAAAAGTCAGTCATTTTTGATTGTACAGAAAATCTCTTTGTTAACATCATGAACACTTTCATCCAGTCCGTAAATCATTTTCAATGCGCCATCAGGATTACTGCTTTTTGCTTCAAAGTAGGCTGTCAGAGTTTCAAGCGCATTCAATGCAGCAGGAGAATTTGGCACTGGTTTGTCACTTTCAGAAACTTCAGAACTTACGCTTTCAGCATCATCATCTTCGTCAAAATCTTGATCATCCGATTTTATACCACGTGTGATGTCCGTGTCAGTCAGTTCTCCATAACATTGTGTACGGTCGTCGAAGCTGATAAATTCGTCAAAATCTGTTTGCTCCATGCCCGATGGTGGAGAAACTTGATCATTTTCGTCGAGTATTTCTTCCATATCAGCCTGTGATTCAATGACAAAGCCGGTCTTTTTGTTGGTTTTTTGAATTGTTGACGGTTTGACCATGAAAAGTGCTCGCTTCATCATGTGCATGGCCTTCAAAACAGTTATTTGCTTGGCCACCTCGGACAGCGGCACTGGCGGTGTAGCATCGATCGCTGCGATTTGCATTCGAACAAGTTCCCGACGATAATACACTTTGAATGAACGAATGATGCCTTGATCAAAAGGTTGAATGAGACTGGTGGTGTTTGGTGGCATGAACGACAATTTGATGTTTGACAGATTTGTACCCGGCAGTAAGTTATGACAAGTTGCATTGTCCAAAAACAGAATAATCTTTCGATTTTGAGCAATCATTTTTCGATCAAGCGTTTTCATAACATCAGTAAACAGCTGACTAGTCATCCAGGCTTTACGATTAGCGAAGTAAGAAAACGGCAGAGTTTTGACATTTTTAAAGCAGCAGCATGGTTTTGCCGACTTACCAACAACTACAGCTTGCTTTTCACTGCCGTCCATGTTTGTGAACTGAAGCATCGTGAGTCTGTCTTTGGGAACTTTTGTCCCATTTGACTGTTCGTCGCCGGCAAATCGCAAAGATCCAGACGGCATGGCTTTGTAGAAAATTCCCGTTTCATCACAGTTTCAAACATCTTTTGAATCATATCCACGAAAAAGTTGCGGCAAAACGTTTGTCACCCATTCGTTGGCAGAACCTGATCTGCTGTTGAACGAAACGTTATTGGCCTGCTTCCAGCGCATGAGCCAGCCATTGCCCGGTTCAAAATCAACTTCAAGATTTACGGCCAGTTGTGATGCTTTCTGCCTGATGACGTGATCAGTGACGGTAGCTCCATGAGCACATGCTTGCGTAAACCATTGTGTAAGCGCTTCGTTAACGTCCTTGTGCACGGATTGGTGCTTGCGTTTGAGATTAGTGTTTCCGTTCATTTGCATGCAAGATCTGAGATCATCATCTTTCTTGAGAATTTTTGCTGCTGTTGAATAACCGATTCCGTACTTTTTGGCTGCAGCGGCCAGTTTGAGTTTCTTCACTTTGACATCGTCGATGAGCTCCAACTGTTCAGAAATGCTCAGAGTTTTTCGTTGAGACGCCGACATCACTAATCGCAATGATCGCAAGCAAACGGTTTTCAGTGGCAAAATTAACAAACAGACAAACTTCTGACTCAACAGAACAGTAGGTAAAGTGAAAGTGCTGTCCAGTAAATGCAACGACAAGCAAAGTCGGCAAAAAAGGGCGGCGCTACCCTTAGACACACAAAGCAAAAATCATAAGGTAGAGGGTGTCTCCTACAGACACAGATTGGACACACTGTGTCTCTAGACTAGTCAAGATTATGTCATTGAACTTCATTCTCTCTCTAACTGACCTCTGTTTGACCGATTTACGACATCACACTGTCACTCAAAACGAACTCTCTTATATCGGGGAGGACAGGACCAGAGAAAATCTCTCTTATATCCGGATTTCTCTTATATCCGGGTCTCTTATATCCGGGTCTCTTATATCCGGGTTACACTGTATTTTGTAACAAACTAAATAAATAAATAAATAAATAAAAAATAAAATAAATGATGTTTTATTTTTTTAAAATTGAATAAAAAATTATTTTCCATAAGATGGCTGAAAAATATCAATAAATTGTTAATAATAAACTATTATTCAGAGATCTCACGAGCAACGCCGGGTATCCCCGCTAGTAATGCAATAAAACTAACACATTATTTAATTAAAAAACTTTTATGAATACGATATAATATGCCCACTAAAACTATTTTTTCGATGAATAATGAATTTATACAAGAGTTGTTTCCATTTTATAAATTTTAATTATAATAATTTATCTAGTCTTACTCTTTAAAAAATAATGCAAATTTTTTTCAATGTTCAGTGTTCAGGTGATAGTGTTATTAAAAACTATATTTACTAATGGAAAAAAAACTAACTACAAATCATCGACTCCCTCTCGGTATTTAAAAAAAAAAAAAAACATTTTTTTTTTTTTTTTGTAAACATACCGATGTTTGTAAATAGGAATGTCCATACACAACATTATCATTAAAAAGTCATGTGCGTTAAGGATTACGAGGAATCGTCTGAGGATATTTACATTTGTTTTGTTGTGCCTGCGGCTGAATGTGTCTAGACACTGTGTCTAATAATGTTCTTCTGTTTCTATCTTGGAGATATTTCTTACAGAAATTCCAGGCTTTGAAAATCAGCCTTTCAAAATTGTAAAGTAAGTTTTATTTCTTTTAAATTTCTATTTAAATAAATATTACCTATAATAAAATAAACATTTATTAGTAACTAGCAGTAGAGCCCAATTTTGCCCCTAAATGTAACAATTAAGAGATAGATCAAGTATCGACCATCATAAAGACTGAAAAATAAAATTGACAAAGATTATTGTTTAAGGTTGACGGACACGCATGTCTTAATTAGTTTTTTTTTTTCTAATTGGTCAAACCCAAACAAAAACATTGTTTTCAATTGTTATGAGTCTACCGATTGAATAGAATTTTATTATAAACAATTGTCTTGTAAATGGAATTTTTAAAGCATTCTGAATGTAAAAATAAAGAAAAAAAGTGTGCAAGACAATAAGAAACACTACGTGCTAAAAAAGTGAAGTTTTGTTGAAATCGGTTGAAAAATGTAGGAAATCCGATCCCATATATAAACGAACACACACACTCACAAACAACCTGGGTTTTATAATAAGTATAACTCGACATGAGTTGTCCCCCTTTCATTCTCGCGATTAATCGTGTTTTCAAATTGATTTTGTAAAAACAATTGTGTTTTTCCAATTTTTGGCGCTGTCAGAACCACCGCAAGGTAATTTTACGTAGTCCTGTGAAGTTTTGTTGAAATCGGTTGAAAAATGTAGGAAATCCGATCCAATACACACACACACACACACACACACACACACACACACACACACACACACACACACAATCTGCGTTTTATAATAAGTAAGATTTTCTAACATTTTTCAAAAAGCATCTTCAAGCGTAAAGGCTATGAAACCAAAGTACATAAAATTGAAGAAAATATTAGATTGCTTAAAATATATTTTTTTTGAAATTTTAAAGAAAGATCATTGGGTAGTTTTTAAAAACTATAGAGAAACTAAACAAAGCGTTCACTCAGACTTCGTCAAATAATTTATGTCAATTTTGTTCCTCTGGAATTATAAGATTTGCTTTGGTAAGCGAGTATCAATAAGTCATTCAACACATCAAAAAACCATCTCTTCCAGGTTAAGAAATGCTTTTTATAACTATGATTTATCATAAAACATCGTAAAAAAGAATTTCTTTTATGCTAAAAGCTACAAAGGACAGGAAGTTGTGGACATGATTGCCTATGTCGGAGTTAGCTCCTCCTTTAGTTCCTTAACACTTCACCAGGGGCCTCTCTCCCTCTGGCTATAAATACTGGGTGACCCTTCGCCTCGAACTCTTTTTTTTCCTCAGGCTTTGGGCCTCATACCACCTCGCATATGTGAGCTCTCAAAGATACAGCGTTTCCCAAATTCTGGGAACATGCTAAGAACAATACACGTACGTATGAACAATCACCACAATGCACACACATAATATTCACCACACGCACTCAATGTAACTGTCCATGTGCTTGTACTTGTTGTTAATACATATATTTGTTTATACATATTTATCGGTCTTATTTGTTTTTTCTTTGGACTTAATTAAAGTTCAACATTCTCATGTAGCTGGGCCGGCAAGCAGGAAATTTTAACCCACGTGTGTTCTTTATATCTTCACCGCCACAGTCAGCTACACCTACGTCCTGAATAATAATAATAATAATAATAATAATAATAATAATAAGAAGAAGAAGAAGAAGAAGAAGAAGAAGAAATACTTAAACGAAGTAACTTTCTTAATTTTCGTCAAATAACATTTCAGAAAATATTTTGGAAAGATTTTTTTTAATAAAGAAAACTAATTTGTATTTACGGATGCCTAAATACGGACGGATTTAGCGATTTTAGTGGAAAAAAGATTCCAATCTATCGATGGCATATAGATGAAAGGTTGGGTTAATAAATAAGCAATGGCCATTTTTATTATTGACTCCATCTGGTTATAGTTGTTAAAGTGGGTGACTATCGTCTTAGTCCTTTAGTGATTGAAAAGTTTGTTGCTGGATGTACATGGAGTGAAATGTATCAGAAGATAAATTTATGTAAGAGGAAGATTATGCGTACTTATAATATCAGTATCCCACAACGTATAGATTACACAAACAGTTCAAGGACAATTTGCATGGCAAAAAAATTACTAAACACCGTTGTTAGAGAAACTAACAATAAAGAAATTTTTATATCAACAATAAATACATATGTGATGGCAATCAAAAAAATGTTCGTTGATGTAATAACTAAGATAATGTTATAAAGAATGTTTATGCAGAAATGTGGTCAACAAATGTTGATGCTCATTGATTGTTAGAAAAATTAAAATAATTGGGTTTATGTAAAGAAAGATGTCAAATGTGTGCATTCATTTAACAGTGTGTGTACATGTGTAATTTAGAAGTAAGGATAAATGTTGTCAAGTGTTGCTTGACATTAACTGATAGGCTAAATTGGTGAAGTGTACAATTACTTTTTTAGTAGTGAAAACGTTCACTTTTTAACTCAACTGTAGATGTTGAATAACACGCGGCCAATGGTTGATGGATGCTTTGCTGAGTTTGTTGAGATTTCAATGTGGTGTGTGAATCAGTGAATTGACACTCGTGGAGTTTGGTAGCATCTCATGAAACTTGACGACTGACTGACTGAATTGAGTCATGTGGTTACTTTTATAGACATTTGTGTAGCAAAACTGGCTCCAGTGGGATCGGCGGGAAAAAGGATTTGTTTCGAACTTTGCTACAATTTAGTGTTTCTTAACCAATAGAAGATTGAATTTGCAGAAATGAGATGATGATTGGTTAAAGGCTTTTTAGAGAAAAATACATCTTTCTGAAAGGAGTGAAAGACTAATGTGGAAGATTCCACAAGTTCATACTGGGTCGTTGTGTTTTTAGATGGTAGAAACTAATTTGTTGAATTCATCCTTTTTCTTTTGGAGTTGTATGTCCGGTCAAACTGACAGCCGATGAATCTCCAACCCTTGCATCTCGAACTGCTACATCGAACCAATTTTTCTACTTCTCGTTACGCACGTTTTTTTTTTCTCTTCTTTTTATTTGGCCTGACACATCTGGGTTTTCCGTTTGATTTTTGGCGGGACGTGTTGTCATTGGTTGTTTTTTTATGACGTTCGCTGACCCACTAAGCTATGTCCGGGTTCTGTCAGTTACTGAAGATAGGAACAATAGAAGGAAGTAAAGGAAGTATTTGTATAATAGAGAGAGAGAGAGAGAGAGAGAGAGAGAGAGAGAGAGAGATAGAGAGAGAGAGAGCTTTCTTTGTCACTCTATTAGTGAAAAGGAAGGTGTATATTTTCATATGATTTTATTACTACCTAATCTTACTACAACTCTAAATTCGGTTTTAAATGCATTAAAACATTTTGATTACTTGGGATAGTAAATGTAATCTATTGTTTCATATGAATTTGTTTTATGGGACATCGCTTACGTAGTCTAAGCCGGTCACGTGATCTAGGAGTTCGGGCAGTTTCGAATTAGCACGGATTACTGTGAAGACGGACATGTCAACTAGTGTGGTCAAGTATCAGTGGCCATAGCCGATACTGAGCAGGGAACATGGTAGCGGCGGTACACTAAATCAGTGACGACTGAACAATGAAAGCGAAAGCATAACAGTACAAGAGAAACAGATCAGTGTTAATTTTCGTGTTCTTGTTTTGATATTGTAAAAATTCCAACCACGTGGGTCTAGGAAAAGATGGCGGACCCGGCTTGAATCGAACTACATGTTCAGCGGCGGGTAGCAGGCATAACGCTACCCAATCCCCTGTACTTGATTGGCACTTTAGTTGGAAACTGGAAATTGTACAAGAAGAAGTGGCATAACTATACCATTATCACCTATTTGCACAGCCAACAACGACAGGAGCAAACAAGAAGAGGATGAGAGCATAGAAGCTTTTATAACTGTTTTGCGGACGATAACAGAAACGTGACTTTTGCGATAACTATGTAGCGTCGATACTGCGTAACCAAATTGTTTTGGGTATCTGGAATCCCCAAACACAAGCAGAACTACTAAGAGCGCGCGCGAGAGAGAGAGAGAGAGAGAGAGAGAGAGTTGCGGAGGTGCATTGACAACTTCAAACTAATGGAGAACGCTACTCATCAGTCTCGAGTTTTAAGAACGGAACAAGTGCACAAATTCGCCACGAAGACGCAGATGAGTCCGTGGAGAAAAGTAAAACTCAGAAAAGAATGCTATTTCTGTACTTCTTGCCATGGACCAGAGAAGGAACAATGTCCAGCATATGGAAAAACGTGCCTGAAGTGCCAAGGCAAGAATTACTTCGCAACAAAAAGCAAGTCGGTGAAGAAACGGATTCAAACAGTGCACACACACACACACACACACACACACAGCAAGATAGTAGCAGAAGTCAGTCAGACTTTGAGCATATGGATATGGTGAGGGCCGGCGCTAGTGTGTCGCTCCCACCCGAAACTTTGATACGAGGCCCCTTCTCTACTATATGTGAATTTACAATTTCCCAAACTGAGAGCCACAAACCCTCGAAGGAAAATTAGGAGAGGGCAGCGCTTTTTTTTTAATTATCAAAAATCAAAGAATTATCCAATTTAAATGAAAATTTCAGTACGTATTCATTAATTATTTACTTTTATAATGAATAAGTTTTGTTATTTTAAAAAAATCTGAGAAAGTATTATTCATTTTATAAAAACTACCAATATTTTCATGACTAAATTTTACTCGAACAAAGTTGCAAATTTTTGCATGTCTATAAATCTGACGCATCTCCGCTGAAAAAATTCCAACACAACACAAACGGGATTATCTTAAAAATTGTTTTAAAAACAGTATTTCAGTTTTCGGGAAAAATTTGCATGTGTTGAAATCTTTAAACATTTTTAGTTTTTCAGCGATTATTTAGTCCGTTTTATTTTTTCTAGAAATGTCAAAAATAGGGACTAAAATTTTATTCTAATTACTAGCTGTGGACTTTTGGTTAGTATTATCATTAGTAAAAAAAAAAAAAAAAAAAAAAAAAACAACAAAAAACAGAGATCCTCTTTAGTAGATGATCTTGGAATAAAAAATAATTTTACCGAGATATATTACTGTCTTAATTGATCTAAAAGAACTGTTCAGAATGAAAATTACAAGTTAAAAAAAAAAAAGAGCTACTGAAATTAGTACTTCTTCCCACCACCTCACCAATAGCCATGGGTTCCCCACGCGGTTGAGAGGTTCGGAATAATAAGCCCTGTAGATTATTATACTTGATGATTGACAATATAACTTAGGTAGAAAAAAGTAAAATGTACAAAAACAAAAGATTGAGTTATTATATAATGGTATTTTATTAATTATCTTGTGAGGATCTATTACGCACGAACATACACACATACAAAAATACAAATCACATACAATGCCAAGCATTCATTGGTTAACAAATCACCACTAGATTACTACAGACAATTTACATATCGCAGTAATGCAACAATTTTGTAATCACTCTATTTTTAAGTAGTCAATTTAATGCACTTTTGGGAGAAGTGGATCACAGAAGCTTTCTTATGTCTCCCCAAAGCTCGCTCGCTGATTGGTCGATACCAACCAATCAGATCGTTTGCACGTGAAGAATAATTCTTCCCGCGCAGCGATTTGGAGCCTATAGTCGCTTATTTAAGCCAAGATTTATCTAATCCCCACGAGTGAGATTTCAGCTACCAAATGAATCCACGACAGTTGAAACCATGCGCCAACTTTCTCACTCACACACACCACTCAAATGCTGAACATACCTTGTATACACTCACATAATCTCTTCTTACACAGCAATAGCTTTCAAGAACAATCATTACAAGAGACTCTCATGAACATTCTTCCAGTGAACTTTGGAACACTAAAATAACAATTAAAGAGAGACAACTCTTGGTTAATTCAACCTTTTCTTACTTAAATGCATGCTTTCTTACACATTGTTGTTTCATATTGTACATCTTGTTAAATACATATTTTATGTGTAACAATGTCTTTTGCTTATCCTTTTCTGTGTCAGCCCTGTTTCCTAATCTAAAGTTAAATTAATGTGATGAAGTCCGCCACAATCTCGTTTTTTAAATTAAAAATTTAATAACTGAGATAACATGATAATTTAATTACTGAGATAATATAATAAATAAATTTATTAATTAGCATATTATCACATTTATTATATTTTTGATTTAATAATTGGGGTAATATGCTAATTATAATTAGTTACTAACTTTTTAATTCAATAACAGTGATAATATAATAAAATGATATAGGAAATTCAATAATTTGAAATTTTATGGTATTTATTATTAATTTATATTTTTAAGATCTTATTTTTTCATTTTATTCTTTATTGTTAATTTTTATATACGTTTTATATGTTATGAAATATTAAAGTTATTTTATTTATTAAATTTTTAAAGTACTTAAATTTTATTATTACTTAGGTAATTATACACTTATTTTATTTAAACATAATCCAATACCTTAAACAATATTATATGAAAAAAAAAATTACTACCCTGCATAACAGTCATAAGACCTTTCGGAATATTTTGTGGTCCTGAAAAGGGCCGTTTTTCTCTTCAACCATTCTCGGAAGTTAAATGAAACAATTCCCACAGCCAAAAATGCTTATCCAAAAGAGGGACAGCCGCTGAAAAACTTGACCTTTTAACGATAATGTCACATATAAAACACCACACTTAAAAAAAAGAACATTTAGACACACAAAAATGTTTTAATTATTTTAAAAACTCTTGGTGTGATGATTTGTATTAAGCTTTTCAATTTTCACTTAATCTTCACTTAATATCTTAATAACCTAACTTTGACAATATTTGGAAGAATTTTTTTTTAAATTTGAAATTTTATAATTAAATTGAAATTTCATTAAAATCCGACAATTATTTGATTTTTGCAAGACTTTCCAAATTAATTTGTTACTTTACTGACAATTACCAGCTCTGTTACACCGTTAACACATAAAAAAAACAAGATTTTTACCCCAAATTTCGAACGTGTTGGAAAGGATTAAAAAATTTTAATAAATAATAAAAAAAATACTTTGGCCTTCCCTCTTAACAATAACATTAAAATTTTGATGATAAAACATTCTTTATATTTATTTTGGATCCTTTTTCATCATGCGATTCTGTTTTTTAGCGAAAAAGTAGAGGTACCTAATTAAAATCATTAGTTTCTTTTTTGTAAAACAGGACCGAAAATCTGCTCCGAATCGTAAAATAAAAATTGCGATAAAACTATGACATTATTTAATTAGAAAAGCTTTTAATTGCTTTTATAAATAAGATTTATTAATGACATTATTGTCTTAAGAAAATAAATTCCTTTTGATGAATAATGAATTTTTACAAGATTGTTTTTATTTTTTTTTAATTTTAATTATAATAATTCAAATCGTTTAAAATTTTGCATTACTTCAATCCAGTTAGGGCTATATTTACGAATCAACAATTGAAAAGCTTAATAAAAGTCGTTTACCGCCAATATTTAAAAAAATCATTTTTAATAATTTTTTTGTTAGCGTAGAAACATTCATATTTTCATAAGTATGGATGTCAGTCACGTGTTTTAAGAATATAAATCTGGCCGTCTCCAATTATTTCATTTTCATTTCTGTGTTTCATCGTATTTACGTCTCAACAGGTTTTGCAAATCATCCCTTCAAAATTTTAAACTTTGAATTTAAAGTAATTTTAATTTTTAAAATTCCTATTTTAGTAAATATTTTTATTTTATGTATTTATTTTAGTGTGAGTCATACTTCAGTTAAGTAACCTGGAGACGAAACCCAATATAATTCTACTAAAAAATTAAATTTTTCTTATTCAATTTTTCTATTTGCAAAGAGAGCAAAATTGGAGAGTACAGGGATAGAGGTAAAGAAGGTATCAAAAAGAGAAACGAGTCCATCTGGATTACTGGGGAAACACATAGGGGAAGTCCATCATTTATTTGAGGGATTGAGATGTTAAGGGTTTAGATACCAGTGACGTCAGTGACGAAGCCACCTGGTATGTTAGGCATTGAAGACACCGAAAACAAAGATATTTGTAAATGTGTATATAATAAAAATAGCCTTATGTGTATTATAAGAGATACTATCTATCAAACAACAGTGATGAGAGAAAGAAGAGATAGCTGACTGTATTTAGTAGAGAAAAATGGAGGCTAAGGTGCCAAAAATAGTCTGAAAACTGGTGGAGACACAGGGTTTCGCAGGCAGGCTTATGACCCCCCAGAAATAATTTATGACCCCCAGTTTTGTCCCCACGTCAGAAATTTTCTAATAAATTGCCGGGAAATTTGTGAGTAGGAAAAATAGCAATGCTTTCAGCTTTCATGTGTTTCAGTTGCTACAATCTTGGTTACTAACGGGAGACATTGTTGTAACATTTTATCGGATGATATGGTGTTTTAACTCTGCATCATTAATAACAACAAAGCGAAATACGAAGCCAAAAGTGCAACAATTTCAGTTTTGCCTGTGTATCAATTCGCTGAGATACAATTTTCCATTGAGTGAGCGATATACTTTTGAATATATCTACTAGTGTTGGGACGATTAATCGAATCGGAATCGGAAAAATCGGAACTTTTTGGGGTATCGGAAACAGTATCGGAATCGGAAAAATTTATTTTTTCCGATTCCAAAACGATTCTTTTAAATTTTTAACTTAATTTTCCATTATTGGTACGAATGATAAATATTTATTGTTTTAAATTATCACTAAAACTAAAATCATAATAACATCAAAATACGATGTAAATTTATTTTACTTGTCTAAAGAAAAACAAAAAAATTGCATAAATTCTCTAGGTAACCTTTAAAAGAATGCAGTTGATTTACAGTGTTCCGAAAAATGCTTAAAAATTAAATAGAACATTTTTGTCAAGAAAAATACTTTCAAACATCATTGATAATTAAATGGTACCCAGAAAATGATGCAACGGAAAATTGGACACCGGAAAATTAGCAACAGAAAATTACGTCAAAATTACGAGACTGTCGGATCTGGCTGTGCTGTCCATTGAAAACGAACTTACAAGACAAACAGATTTTGACGATGTTTGCCACAATGAAAACAAGAAAACATTCATTCTAAGACCATAGTATCGAATGTCATTCTTTTGTGTATTGCCGTGTTTTGTATTTAGTTGTTCTGAAAGTGAACAGTTGCATTTTAAAAATCTTTTGATTTGAATTGATTATTTTGTGGTATTGGA